CCCCAAAACCCCAAAACCCCAAAACCCCTGGGTTAAAGAAAAATGTTGTTAATATTATTTATGTCAATAATGGTCTTTTCACCTGATACAGGCGAAAAGACCATATCCTTCGCAGCGCTTGTGAAGTTCATAGAGGGGCTGAACGGGCTCTTACGTCTAAGGATTGTTAGAAGCGGGCTTACTGGCGCTTGATGCTGTTGAAACGGGCTTTGGCCTTGGTGTTTCGAGAGAGCATTTTGGACCGGATTTGTAAGATTTTACCAATCTTTTTACTCTTTAGGTTCAGCTTACGGGTGAATTTTGTCTATAAGAAGGGTTTAGAGGATGGGAAATTGGATTTGAAGGTTTATTTTGGGTTTAGGTGAAATGTTTTCCTTAGAATATGTTCCTTACTCTTGAGAGTGGGCTAATGAGGTTTCTAACTCTAGAGATCTGCTTGACTCTGTTACTCAAGGGTGAGATTATCCTCGGCTTTCTGGCAGTACTATGCATTTCCATTTTGCTTTTATTCCTTGACTTGGCTCTATTTAACCTCAAATCTCCAACTCCTGCATTGATGACAATCTTATTCCTATTGACTTTATTTATTTTTAGGCCTCAAAGTCTTCAAGTCGTGCATCTTCATGGTTGGCATCTTGCTTAATCTCCGATTATTTCTCAGCGCCATGCCCTAAACCTCAAGTAAGTGAATCTACTCAAAAGTGTATAATTTAAATTTTAGCTTGAAGATGATCAAAATCGCACTACCACGTAAATCTAGCTTACAATGTCTTGCGAGAAGTCCTCCTGAATCATAATGGGGGATTTGCTCCGTTTAGTGTCAAACTCAGATCTGTCAACTTCCGCCATGTGGTTTAACAGGGACTTCTTGGACTGTGTCTGGCTATCATTTGTGTTATCTATATCAGAATCGTTACACCATAATGTTCAAGGTGATCTCTCAAATTCCTCCAAGAAATGACATTGGCTAAGGAATCTCTCAAAATTTTATATATTATAGTAACTGTATCCTGATACAAAAAGAGCTCCTGGCTGACCAATAGATTTTATGCATAGTTTCAGTACAATCTCTAGTGATTTTAACAGAAAGAGATTTAGTAGCTTTAACTTACCAAAAATCGAGGCTTCTCGGTTGGAAAATCTAGAAAATCCCCTGAGAAGCTGATTATGATCCAAATTGAGAGTTTGCTTGACAACTCTTGATGACTTCCTCCTGGATGCTAGCCTTGAGTTATTGTTGAATTTCTTAGTGTCAGAAGGATTATCATTAATCAGCTGGGCGTAAGAAATAGTCTTAACTTTCTTTTCTTCCTCTAAATTGTCTATACGGAAGCTATTCAATATGGTATAATAATCCATACCTTTGCTCTTCTGTTTCTCTGGAAAGTTACTAATCTTCTTAGTAAAGCCCTTGATCTTGTCGTCATAGCCAAGATACTCCATTCTTGACTGGATCTCCACTTCTCGCTTGTTCTGCAGAAAATGGTTAACTAGATCAGTGATGCCCTCAGAGGATTTTTCTATAAGACCCAATGTTTTTGGGGAAATTTGTTTAATCACTGTCACAAAATCTTTTGCAGAAATTCGGAGTAGCTTCCCTGTGGTAGAATTTCATATAACTGTTGTTCTTCGAATGCATCTTTTGACAGCCTCGTGTTCTCCGAACATACTCCCTTTTCCTACCTGAGCTCATTTGAAATTCTGGGGATCCAATCTGTTCATCCCAGAAGGATATGAAAGTGGTGAATTACTGCGGAACATATTGGTATCAGGCTCTTCTGAGTAAATATTGAGGAAGCTATGTTTAGGTTTTAATTTATGAATAATCTTCCGGCGGAAGTCAAAATCTCCCTCCTTGACAAGATATACATAGTCTGCAATATCACCTTGCTTATAAATCGAGGTATTTCTTCTTCAATCAACTTCGGTGAAGTAACGATGGAGCTTATTTAATCTCATTTTCAGACCAATTAGTGAAATAGGGAACTGACCTGAACAGCTTAACTATCTTTTCATATATTCTTCTTTGCAATCTTCCGAAAATTTTCTGGTAGTTGCTCTTGTCAATAAGCGCGAATACTCAGTCCTCGACTCATTTAATAGTAGCAGCACGAGGTTTGTACTCCATGAGAGCTATTTCTCCGAAGGAATTTGGTGCATTGAGCCTGGTAACCTCAACCATGATCTTTTTATGATGGTTTTCCTCTAATTTTGGATCATTCTGACCTTCAATGATGTCTCGATCAACTTTGACATGTACGCTGACTGTACCATGTATAATTATGTAGAAAATATTCCCGTAATCACCAAGCCTGAAGACGGTTTGTCCTTTGTTCATCTTGTACAAAGTAAGCACCTGTCAGAGGTCTTCGACCATGTGGTCTGCCTTCCCACTTTTCTGAAGCAGTTCGTTGTTCTTAATAAATGGAAGGTTCTTCAGGAGGGGTTTCAGTGTTGATACATCCTCCTGTGACCGCTCATTTACTGGAGAGCCTAGGATCTCGATTAATTTCTGTATGTACTCTATAACAATTTGTAAATAAGTTTTTATGATAATTTTTGCGATCTTTCTTCCAATCCTATCACTTTAATGAAAAAGCTTTGATATATAATTATGCAAAAGAAAAATATAGAATTTATAAAAGGGTTATAATCTTCCTATATTTCACTAATTAAACACAACTCGTGCTAGTTTTATTACAAAAATATAGCGCTTAGATTCTTGTGAGCAAATTTGTTCATTTGATACTAAATAATTATCCCAAAACTGCACTATATAATGATTATGTTGCTAAATTTATAGCTCAAGCGTCACAAAAAGTAACTTTAGCAGTTATGGAGCATTAGAGTACTTCTAAAATTGCCTTGAAACAACCCATTTAAAAAATATTTTTTAACTGTGCCATTAGAAGTGTCAAAAAGAGAGGTGCAAATTTTGGAGAATGACTTGCCAGGGTTATCTGAGAGGTCCATTTTTAAAAATCTTATTAGTTTTATTTGTAATCTAATTGGGGTTTTGGGGTTTTGGGGTTTTGGGGTTTTGGGG